GCCACAGAAAGGCCAGCGGCGGCCGAGAGGTGCTGTCTCCCACAGAGAGAGATAGATGGGGATGCAGAAATGGAGAGAGAAGCTCAGGGCACATCCACACTTAGCTGGCAAAATCTGAAAATGCACCCCTCCATTTTGGCACACTGTCCACAGTGAACCAGCTGCTGAACAGTTAGCTCTTAAAAACAGTCTCCAGATGTTGTCATGTATTTTGATGTGGATAGGGAGAATTATACACCTACAGGAGAACGATGAGGAAATATAGAGGAGAAATGACAAGTACTAAGGGTACTGGACCAGATGCTACATGAGGACTTTGTGGTTAATGGTCTGTACCTTAACCCCCCGCCGCAAGACGCCCTGGTGTTAATATAGTCGCTCACACAATACAGGCCGGATTCATCTTTATTGTGTCACACACATTTGCGATCATAAAGTAGTGATTAACGTTCAGTGCAGTATCCTAAAAAGTACTACAAGCCTTGTTAACAGATAGCATTTATGGCCCACGTTAAAATATTATTTTCTGCCCTTTGGGACAAAAAAAATAAAAAAAATACAAATATATAGACTACCAGAGAACAAATAAATTGTGAGTTTATCTATATAAAACTCCAGAACACAAGTTTAATGAGCTGACACTCAAAATAAATAAATAAGCATGCTGTCTTTTCCACTTGTTGACTATGATAGTGAGGTTTGTTGTTTGCCGAATGACACAGGTTGAAGACCAAGAAATGTTTTTCTTTTTGTGTTTCTTATTGTTAGTATGGACAGCGATCTCCATGAAAACAGCTTCCAAACTCTTGTTTTTACACGTAAACTGTGTTTACAAAGTTAGTTGGATTACTGTGGATATATTCTCCAGGAGAGACAGAGAGGGATACAAGGAGAGACAGCAACTAGCAGGCAGGGGGGGCCCACTCCCACCCTCACCAGTCACCAGCCCCCTTGAGCACAGCACCATGCAATATTCATCCTCAGCCAGTCAGCTAGCAAGCCAGCCAGGCAGTCAAACCGGCAGGATTCACCCCAAAGGTGCTTCTCGCTCTTCTCCTCTCAATCTGCTCCACACCCGCACCGCCTTGTCTCAGCGCTTACCGGCGGATCTGTGTCTGTCAAACTCAGCAGTGACGATCAAAAAGATCTGAGGGGGCCTCCTCACCAACCCTCCCACTTACTCAAAGAGCAAATGCACCATTAAAAATGCACATCTTACTAGCTCATCTCGTTTACCTAATGCATATGCATCATACCTCGGGGACTAGGAGAAATGATACTGCAAGCAATACAGAATATCCTTCATCAGATATACAATTCAGATTTCTTCAGGAGGAGGCTGGTGAGTTTTTCCCCTGCTCTGCCAAGCCGACTGAACCTTGGGAAAGCGTGAAACAGACACAGGACTTGTTGAAAGACACCCATCTGGGTGCTGGTTACAGCCATCTACATACATAACTGACTCTCTCTCCCTCCATCTCCCAGTAAATTCGAAGTTTAGACGTGCTCTGTGAGATTGAAAAACTATGACGCAACACAGAAAGTTCACTGCACTACTGATATGCACAAAAAGTAGGCCTAGAATTAACACTGATGTAAACTGCTAGAAATAGATTGAAAAACAGAGAGAGAAATCATTAAGCCAGAACAATAACACATAATCAACTGTTGGGAGATTAGCAGATGATCTACTGTGTGTGTGTATGCGTGGGGTTTTTTTTTTGCCTAAGTCAAATTAATCATTAGAGCTTTTATCTGATTTTCTTCTGTGTGCAACCCAATTATCCTTAATTTTGCTATTACAAATCTTAAAATAAATTAACCCCCTTGGCAATTCCAGTGTTAATGTTGCAGTGCCCTTGCATGCACAAGAAAAACAACTGAAAGCACAGACCTATTTTTAGTGTTGTCTTTTACCAAAAAAAATTACTCTGGGGCTTACGGATGATCCTCTTTGTTTAAAGTCTATCCACTAGTTATGAAGGCAAAAACATCCTTCTGGGAAAGAAAAGAAAAAAAAAAAATCAATGGTCCTGATGTTGGAGGGCGGTATTAAAATCCAACAATGACCAGATCTACACAGAGCAAACCTGAGTTGTATCGACCAAAGAGAGGCATGCAGGGAGGCCAGGCTCTGCCAGCCTCCAGAGCTCTGATCAATACAAACAACTCAACATTCATCCACTGCTGTCTATGTTACAGGCTACAGTGGTTTGGAGGAAGCTTGGCCTGAATGGCACACCTTGACTGACACAGGTAAAGCAGGTGACACACAATGTTTACAGGTCAAAACATGTAAAAGGCGGGGTGCTACGGTTGCAATGAATGGCTGAAGGGATATATCATCATTAATTATTAAGATCTTCTCTTTATGAAAAAAATCTACAGGGAACATACATTAACAAAAATCACTCAGTATGTGACAGGATAAAGTGTGATATGACTGTAATAAAACACTGACTCAAACAAAAACCTTTAGCAACAGGACCATGTGGAAAAACACATTCTGTAAAAGTTCAATTGTGAAAAGTTAAACTGTTTTTGGTTAAGGCAGTGACCTACATATCTGAAAAATCGAGCCGCTTCATCACACTGACGTACTACTCTTCTATACGGTCGTATACTCCACTTCACAACCCTGGTTAGCAGTTTGGCTTTTGTTCATGCATTTGCCTCTGTGTGGGGTTACCTGGGGTGGAAACACTGGAACGGCTGGTTGCTGTCCTGGTGGCTGCGTGTCCATATCCATGGTGTTAGGAGCTTGATCCTTTACACCTCTGAGAAACAAACACACAAAACAGAATTTCTGGTTAGTTAACACAAAGATGACAGACAAAACACAGAGCAGTTGTTTCCTTTAAAAGTCCCATTAAATTCTACACACACATTTCACAACAGAAAACAATGACCTCAATCAACTCGTTGCTCAACACTAAACTGCTGAGTACTGGCTGGCAGTGTCCGGTTTCAGCCGAACTGAATCCCACAGCATGCCGCCTGTGGATTTGACACTCTTTGTCTGGGTCCCTCTCAGGTTGCAGTATGGCAGAGCTGCAGCAGACAGCAATATTAATCTTAACAAAGCAGAGATAATGCCACTTTGTATTTTCTTGGCATTCCTCCAAGGAACCTTTCATGGGAATTACTGGTTATGTAGGCATTTAAGCAGTTCCACTTCATTTTCTGCTTACTGAGAAAATATAGGCCACACAGAGGTGAGTGTCTAGGGTATGGGTGTATGTCACGGTGCTGTGTAATTGCATGTTCTGGCATTTATAGCCTAGAAGCAAGCTAATTGCGTAAGATACCCCACCACCAGTTGCCTGGTTTAAGAGCGCACTAAAAACAGACAGTGCCATAATATGAAGTGTTACCTGAATGAATTATTTACACATATCTTTGGGAAAAACTATGATGCAAAATTTATACTCACACATGCAATTAGCCTATAATTTCAGTCTCTACTCAACTAATGTATGTGAAAAGAACTCTGATCCTGACAGATGTTAAAGAAGTGTTTCCACTGCACACGGTAATGTACATAATATGGTCATATAGTTCAATAATTAACAGCAGTTTACAAATGATTTACAAAGAATACAATTCATACCTAACAGGAACTACAGTCAGTACAGAAAGCATCCAGACCCTTTTCCGCATTTTATGTTGGATTCAATTTAATTTTTTCCTCAATCTACACACAATACAGCACAATGACAAAATGAAAACCGGTTTTTGGAGTGTTTTGTAAAAGTATTCAAATAAAAGACTGAAATATCTCATTTACATAAGTATTCAGACTTTGTTATGACACCTGCAGTTGAGCTCTGATGCATCCTGCTCCTCTCAGTGGGTGCTGAGATGCTTCTACAGCTTGATTCGAGTCCACCTGTGCTTAATTTAATGCACGGGATATGATTAAGAAAGGCACACACCGGTTTATATAAAGGCCTCATACGGTGATGGTGTATGTCAGAGTGAAAACAAAGCCATGAGGTAGGAAGAACTGTCCACAGCCCTGCGAGACAGGACTGTCTGAAGATACAGATCTGGGGAAGGATACCAGAACATTTCTGTATCTGCACTGAAAGTGCACAAGAGCACAAGAGCCTCCATCAGTCTCAAATGGACGAGATATGGAACCACCGCCAGTCTTCAGATCTGACCATCCAGACAAACCGAGCAGTCACAGAAACATGGGGCCTTTGTCAGACAAGTGACCAAGAAACCAAGGCTCAATATGAATGAGATCCAGAGTTCCTTTCTGGAGATAGGGGAACCTTACAGAAGTGCAGCACTCCAACAATCAGGCCTCTACAGCGGAGTGGCCAGACGGAAGCCATTCCTCACTAAAAGGCACGTGATAGCCCGCTGGGAGTTTGCCAAAGGGCGCCTGAAGGACTCTCAGACCATGAGAAGCAAAACCCTCTGGTCTGATGAAACAAAGACTAAACTATTTGACCACAATTCCCACTGGCGTGTGCAGAAAGGACCAGCCACTGAGCATCACCTCATTAATAGCATTCGTCGGTGGCAGCATCATGCTGTGGGAATGTTTCTCTGGGACTGGGAGGCTGTCATGACTGCCAAAGGTGCTTTAACCAAGTAGTAGGTGAAGGGTCTGAATACTTGTGTAAAGATCAGTCTTTTACTTATAATACATCCTCAAAGTACTGGAAAGCATTAATAAGCAAAAGTGATTGGCAAAGGGAGAGAAAAAAGTCCAGACTGCTTATTTAGTAGTTAGTAAGAGGGGAAAGGAAATAACCAAGGCAGCAATTGTATATGGTTATTCAATTGATCGTGGAGCAGGGATTTACGATTCTTCCACTCTCTGTTGACTCTTTATAATTTCTTAAATTTATATGAACAGGCATGCAAACACAACTGGACACAGAGACGTATGTTCCAAATAAAAATGCAAAGGAATACAAAAAATTCATAATAGGACATTAACAAAGTTTTCCACTAGAGTGAGGGCCGTCCATCTGCAGATACGCACCTATGTCATTTGTGCATTAGTAACCATCTCCTACCTCTGTCACCTCAAACCTCCCCAGGCCAATTAAACATCCTCTTGTACAATGGAGAACAGAATGACACTGAGGAGCTGTCTCTCTGCCCATCAGCACCATTCACTAAAGGTTAATGATACTAATTAAATATCTCTCTACATTTCATACATTTTATAAACCACTTCACAAGAAACTGTGTCCAATTTGACTGGCATATATAGATCAACAAATAAACCGATAGATGTACAGATCATTAGATATTATATATCAATAGCAAATATATATGAATCAGCAGATACAGATATGCTCGGCACATTTGTGTGCGTTCTGCAGGGCTTCAACGTACAGTAACTACAAGAAGGCATGTGTGTAAATGTAAGCAGGCAAGTATTTTACCAATATTGTGTTTCTGTTGTTTGCTGGAGGCTCGCTGGTCTTCACGAGAGCTTTGAAGATTGTGAAAATAACTGTTTGCATAACACCATTTCTCCTGGGATTTCACATGACTACATTTGGAAAATTCCTGAAGTTTACATTATTTCAAAAGAGATTTAATCGATTCACATATAAAAAGGCTTTCTAAATAATAATGGTTTAAAAGGCACTACTGCTGGAGGGAATCTAGAAAAACATAGTTAAAAGCCCTATCCGGGTTATTTTGATTCTTATTTTGACTAAATAAACTCACAAAAGAAGAATAATTTCTGAAATTCCTCTTCTGGTGTGACTTTCATAAAGGCCCGCTCTGGTTAGGGCCCCCAGATGTACCACTGACACCATGTTCTTGCTTGATGTTTGACTGTTTCCATGAAAACACCACTGAAAGGATGCTTCAGACGACCTGTGTGCCAAATCTTGCTGCCTTTTTTGACTGAGCAATAGTAAAACAGTTTCAACAGATAGGAAAATGAAAATTCAGAGTTTACACTGGCAGAAACACAAGTAGAAAGATCACAGTACATGTTGTTCCCATACCAACCCTAAACCAGGTGACTAATAGGGTAAAAATGTATGCTAGTAAGGCTAGCTAAGCTAACGTTAGAATACAGCTGTTTCTGAGGTCAGCACACTGGATATAGCATGGATTCATATAGACTGTTCTACAAGTGGATAAAGTGCTAAACACGTTTGTTTTTCAAGTAATGTGTTCCCTAATTTTAAGATACAAATAATCAGACTAAAAGTTAAAATAATTTTAAAACAAGCAATGAATTGCTTGCAGTGTTTATTCGTTTTAAAAGCTTTTTAAAATGAAAAATATTAAAGTAATATTAATAATAATAAGCCATTGTAATTTATTTAAATCTTCTAATATTATATAACTGTAGAACTGAAGAAAACTAAACAAGCATTGCAACATTCAAATGTGTGCAAATGTGCTCCTGAGTGTGCGTAAATTCTGTTGTTACTAAAGAACAAATCCCACGTAAGAAAACTTTGGTTAATGCCAGAATCTTCATGAAAACTTCCTACGTTGGTTTTAAGAAGAAATTTATTCTTAAGAACAATGGCGCCTATTGATTTTTGGTGTAACAGCATTATTGGGACAGTGAGCTGCCTTGGGAGAGGTCTGCACTCTCTGAGTGCCATCCACTTTGAAATGTAACGTGGCAAAGCCTTGATTATTATGGAAAATATTCATTGCTCTACTAATTTTAAATAGTGTTCAAATTGTCATAAACTGTGATTATAATTCCAATGTAAATGAGCAAATATTTATCATAATAATCTAATTCAATCCATCTATAAAAAGGATTTTTTTTTTTGGTCACCATTAGTACAAGCAAGAAGTACGTTTTAAAAATGATGTGGTAAAAATGGGGCCTATAAGAGGCTGTTTAAATGGCTGAATAGCTGGGTGTCGTGGCATTTTGATTTCAGTGTCACAAGAGACTTAAAAGTTATAGCCGACCTTCCTGCCTCTTGTCGTGATTCTTCAGCCTTGTGTTTTGTTAGGGGGCTGGCATCCTTACTCCTCTACATAACCCTCTTGTGTTTCTGACTGTCAAAATGTCCGGGGGGCATCTGAGCTCCCTGAGGTTCTTTCGCCATGCACATCCCACGTTAACGAGATCAATTAAGAGTGCCATGTTAGATTAACATACAGCAGGAAATAGCACAATTAACTAATTCAATCAAAAGGAGTAAACCAGACTTGAACACACTTGGGGCTTCTACTCACACAAAGTTCAAGTAATGTGCAACCAATCAAAAGTAAAGCGTTGTCCTAGTGACTGGTCAAATCAACAAAGATTAACATAGAGTGTCAGGTTTTACCATTTAGACTCATGTTCAGTGCCTTTGGTGCCACTTCACAGCTGTGAAGAGACAACTGTATCAGTTATCACTTTACAATACAATTACTATTGCAGTGTTTCCATTGGTAACATTCAGACATGGTGGCCTGCCATGGCAATGTCATTGCCGCCGTGGTAAAAAAAAAAGAAATTGTACAGTTAAGGCCAATTTTTCACACAATAGATAGAACTCCATTGTATGAAATGCTCCCTGCCACACGCTTCACATGCATCCAGTCTATTTTCTCTGGCACATTGAGTGCAGCGTAATCTCCACACATTGTCATGATTACATGCACAAGGCTTACATGAAAACTACTGTTGTCCAGCACACGTCTGCTGTCAGTCAGCAATGCTGCCACGCCAAACCTCTTTATACACAGGAAACAATGTATTGTAATACTTTAAAACTAAAGAATTTCCAAAATTATGCACCACTATTTTCTGTTTCTATTGCAGCATTAC